GCTCCCAGGCCTCTGGTAGAGGACCCGAGCTCAGAGGATGAAAGAGACCACCCGCGGAGGGTGAGAAGGGAATATTTTTTACTAACTACACGAGTAGAAGTCCCAACTAACTTCTGGATCATTTAGTAAATTAGGTAGTGTGCACAGGAGCTAAAGTAATTCAATATTTTGCATATGTCATAGTTTATGTTCATCAATGTGGGTAAGAGCAGATAATAAGAAAACTATTCAAAATGAWCTGAAAGACTGGACAACAATGAAAGCAGTAATTATATTTTATTGGTAAATGTATCAAATGTTAATCAAACTTTAAAATAAAGTTACAAAATTATTTTTACAAATGAAAACTTAAAATTGCTCCTWCTCACCTCGTCCAGTGTTTTCTCTGCCAGGATTCTCAAAAACATAAATTAAAACAATATGATGGCATTAATCAAATTTATAGCCATGCAGACTGTTTTTACCAAATAAGCTCTGAGCCTTACCCACAAGGCTAAACCTGTCCATCCTCAGCTCAAATGAACTTAAACCTGTAAATAAAAACTCTGACAATAATTAAATAATAACCAGATCACTGAGTCTGACCTCCAGTTTTATATCTTTAATTATTCACCAACACATTAATTATTGCACATTGCTAAAATGTGGGGKTTTTTTTCATAGCAGGCTCGTAATTATTAAAAATAAAACTTCAGTTTGTTAGTCCGCGACGATTAAAAACGATTAAAAAAGGAAACAAATGTGTAAATTTACATTGCAAATGGCAGCGCTGGCCAATCAGCCGGGCGGAGCGTCCTCCTCCCAGCAGCTCAGCCAGCAGGAGGAGGCGGAGGAGGAGGAGGATGGAGGAGACCGCAGAGGAGAAATAAGACACCTCAAACCATCCGCTGTCGTCTTCTCTAACAAACACCGGGGCTTACATGGCAGCTGATTACGATGTAAGTATAGAAATGTGAGTTTTTGTCCGGGAAAACGTGTGTTTTTGTTCGGCTGCTGCCGCCCGTCGATGCTGAGCTGGCTGTTTTTATTTATTTATATATTTGTCATGTTTTTGGACCGCCGGGTTCTCGTTGAGGAGGAGGTAATGTTCTTGTTCTCGGTGCAAAATTAACCTTTTAACGTTTRGTTTTTATGTGCCGACTATTAAAAATGAGCACAGTGAGTCCTCGGGGAAGCTGTTGTTGAGGACAGCTCGCTGTGACGCTTCTCCAGTTAACCCTGGAGGTATTACCGCTTTCCAGCACATAGCCGGATCCCGCGCCCCTATTAGGGCATTGTAAAGCCAAGGCGTAATTACTTCGCTATAAAACATTGACAGTTCTCATATAGATAGCTGAAACAAACATTTAACTAATAAATGTGTTTTATGGTTCACAAATAATAGCGAAGATAAACGAAGTGACCCAGAGCGTAGACGGAGCCCACGCAGCGCTCCGTTATACAGCAGCTTAGCTTTCCTTTGACACAAAAAACGGTTTTTATCCACAAAACACGCTACTTAAGGCATAAAGCATCGACAACCATCAGTTTCACCTATTATATAGACCATAAATGTTTAATTACCGCAGTAACTGGACATTGCATCGTGGAGTGTCGGATTAAAAGCTGTTTTGTAACGTGTTTATGAATGAACGTCTGGGTCATTATCAGTGAGTTTATCAGGTTCAGCATTAAACGTCAGGAAATAGACACCCCCCGCTTTCATCCTGTGGCAAAGAGAAACAGAAAGAATTGAGGAAACTCCTCTGTTTTAATTGTATTTGAGTAAAACCAGAAATTATCTCAAGTTATAATGTATTGGAGTGTTTTTATAATTAACACAGTGACATTCGAGTAGCTGTATTTAATTTACAAGCAAAGTATCAGGTTSTTTTAGCTCTTGAACATGTAAATGTGTTGAAGTGGGGTTCCACGGAGTGGTTGTGACCAGTTGATGTCTTACCTGTTGCAGATGGCTCTTTGAACCATCTCGTTTTAGAGAACTAGAGTTAAATTTTGAAAAAGGATCAGCACATTTTAGGCAACTCGGGATTTTATTATGATTCAGAGAGGGTGTTTCCCCAAGTATGTTATAGGGCTGGTGGGCCGCCATGCATTACCGTGTGATTGTGGGAACATATAGATATTTTATAACTTGTGAAATAATGTTTGCATGAAGCATAAAATAACTAGGATCTGTGTTGTTGTAAGAATAGCAGTCTACTTTGGTCCTGCTTACATTAACTTTCAGCTAAAAAGCTATCTACAACAGATAAGATGCCCCACTTCAGAAGATCTGAACTATGAGTTAAGTTTTAATCAGACATGTTATTTTATTCTGCTCTGTCTCTGATCTTTCTGTTGCTGCAGTGAGATGTTCTCCRACATGCAGCGGAGTACCAAACTGCCTTCCACTAACAGGAGATAGCCAGCATGCAGGATGGAGCGACTAAGAGGAACGTCTCTTGTGCCTCGTGTGACGCGCCAACCGTTCCTGAACATGCACSGGACTGCTGGATCCGTGTGTCTCGTCCTGCTGTCTCTCGTCTCCTCTGGCGCCGCCGGGGCCCTGTCTGTGGACACGATAGCAAACGGCACTGAGACCAGCAACGGSACACAGGACGGCTTCGTCCCAGTTGTGTTTGCTGGAGTGAGCCAGATAATTGCCCGGGAGGGGAGCTGCGCGTTGATCGATTGTAACGTCACTGGAGACCCATCTCCCAGCATTCAGTGGTTCAACTCACATGGAGACCGGCTGGACACGCAGGCGGGCGGTGAGGAGCACTTTTCTCCCTCCAGGAATTACTTGTTCATTAATTGTAGCTGCATTAGACACACCACTGAACTGGATTTACTCAGTAGCCGTGTTTCCCATCAACGTTTTTTAATGCTCATTTTGAAGTATCGCATCAGAAAAGGTGAAAGGAAACGGCATGATTCGAAAAAAACTCCTAATTCGCATCAAAGTTGATACGCTCACGAGGTGGTTTTTGTTTTTTTTTTTCGAAAAAGAGTTAATGCGCAAAAGGAGAGATGGAAACATGTTTGTTGAATAAGTTCTGACGTAGAGAACATTTACCTCACATGTTGATCAACTGTTCCTGCTGTCAGTCTGAAACTGGTACCAGAGTGACTGGCAGCTGGACGCTCCTCCCGCTGTCGGTGTATTCTCAGTAAATCCCGTTACGTAAAAAGAATTGCATTACTTCCTCTATATCTACCGACCGTGTGTAACATCGCCAAAACTAGTTGATGACAGAATAATTACAACTTACCCGACAGTAGCAACACGTTCCTGATAACTTCTCTCCATTTTCCTGAGATGCGACTTTTACTTCCTGTTTACTACACGCTTGCGTCTGACGTAACTGATTCGCTTCAAGCCAGTTGATGGAAACACGGCTAGTGTCAGTCTGGGAGAGTTTTGATCATCAGAGAAAACAGTAAAAAGGTTATTTCCCTGGAAGTTGTTCTTTGGACACTTTAAAGRGATCCACTATTAGTTGTAACATTAGACTTTATTTGATAAACATTTATTTTAACTGTAAAATACTAAAAATACTGTAGGCTGTTTAGTTTTGTAAATTTTTAAACTAAATTTTTAAAAATGTATACCTGAGTTTAGCTTGTTTGTCGCGCTAGCGCCGAGCTAATACATATAAGGCAATGTAGCGTCTGCGCTAAAGCTAACAGGCTAAGCTGAGGTTCTTCTTCCATGAAGCAGCTCTGTTGTCCTCCATCCATATTTTCAGTTACAGGCTGAGTCATTTCTACCTTCTCCTCTCTGTCAACGCTCTCTGGTTTCATTTAAAAGAGTCGATCATCAGATATTGTCCAASATTAACCTTCAGGGTGGATATAGCTCGCTAGCAGCCTCGCACAGAGGACATCATCACCGATCACGTCATCATTTACCCAGAATGCTTTGAGTGTAAATAAAATGGCTCCGTCCGTGTAATATATTTTAAAACATTTGCAAAACTAAACAGCCTACAGTATTTTTAGTCTTTATTTTACAGTTAAAATGTATCAAATAAAGTCTAATGTTACAACTAATCATGGATCCCTTTAAACCAGTGCTTCCCAACCTACTYTCCTCAATAACAAAGATAGTTGTTGTTTACCACTGAAATTCACAGGGTAGCTGCTGCCAGTTAAACTGTAAACAAGATAAAATTACATTTAGTTTTTTTTTCATAACATTCATACAAACACAAATTTATAAAAATACATTTGACCTCATAATATAAACAAGTCAGCTAAATCTGTGTTAAATCTGAACCAGAAACTTAATTTACCCCTTTAAAACATTAGTCAATAACAAATCAATATTACTGCATATTGTGCAAGAACCAAGCATTAGCATCGTGCTAATTAGCTGCTAATCTACACAGTTAAACAGATGCTTAATATTGCAATAATAATCAACTTACCACATTGTGTAGTGTATTTAACTGTAAATGTAGAAGGTTGAGTAAGTTTGTTTGAGATGTTTCCTTCTTTTAAAGTCATTTCCTGTTTYACAAAACGTTTTTCAGAATAAAAGTAAACAAGCTACAGAGCCCTCTAGCCAAACTTTGACCAACCCTCCTCCCCAGGTTGAGAACCACTGCTTTAAACATCCAGACTTAATAAGCTATTGAAAAAAAAAACTATTACTAATACAGACTATTTTTAACAGTGCCAGCTCAGAGTGGATTAATGTGGTTTGTTTGGGTATATTCCAAAACATCCACAGTTGGAAAAGGTCATGTGTCCATCATGGAAAACTACTGCTGCTTACGTTGACCCATAAGTCTTAAAACGCTCTGGAAGAAGGTTTTATTTCCCACCGTTCCTTCCTTAATAGGGAAGGAGGAACGCAGAGGGAAGAGAGGTTTGTTGTTCCGACATCTCGTCTGCACCAACCTGTTGAAACCTGCCATTAAAGACGGCACAGGCAGCATTGTTCTCATGACCTAAAAACCCAGARCAGCACCTGCAGCGGCGCAGCTTCTCCCCTGGGTTCCACTCAGGAGTCTGATCAGAGCGCTTCTCYTTCCCTGCCCAGCTGCTGCTGGTGGCTGGCCACAGAACGTCTGATTTATTTCTACATGTTTTTGTTGTTGTTCTGCACACCAGTCATCTTAGGATGCAGTGCTGGAGATAAAATTAGACAGCTTTTCTTTCGCCTCCAAAGGCGGATGGGTGGGATGCAGTAAGTCGGTCAGGCTGCACTTCCTGAAGGCCCATTCATCTCCTCCTGAGGATGCCTGCGTGGGAAGTTATTTGTGATCGTTGAGCAGAAAGCACCAGAAGCAGTGGTTCCTCTGCAGGCAACCTGTTGTTAGTCAGTCAACCCTGTGTGGAGTTTAAAGGACCGATTCAACCTTTATTTTGTGCTTTTATTATGGCGTTGCTGAGCATCAGCACAGATTCATGAGGGCTGAAAACATGACCACAGGCTCTAGACTGTGGGTCACATGGTGTCCATGGTTAATCCTGACTGTAAAAGCAGGTCACTGTGTGTGTTTGTGTTACATTGCGCTAAAATAAACTAAAAGTGTTCCTGCTCAGCAGGAAGTGGTTATTATACCACATGCAGCTGTAATTCATTTTCTATAGCTGTTAATATAATCAGTTTTTGAACATGTTTGTCTTTTTGACAAATTAATTACCATGTTGTAAAGACGAGTGCACTAGAAGCTGCCTTTGGATTTTCATTAATGATTACAGAAATGACCACGTCTGGCTAAAGAAAAAATGCTGACATTGTCAAGATTTAGAGTAAAAGTCAGTGGTTTAGATATTGTTATCACTCATTTAAATCCTCGTCCATCCAATTGATATATATTACTGGACTGGGCGTCACGTGACCTGGGCGTGCTTCGCAGGGGGGATTTTTATGTGTTGAGCTAATGCTAACGCTAACCATTGAAATCAATTATCAGAACGTAGTGCGGTGCAAACAAATGCTTTAAAAACATACAAATGGTACAAATACTTCACAATAAACTACATAGTTTGTCAAGTGTTTACAAGAGCTAAAAGGTTTATGTTTCACAATATTAGCATATTTAACCAAAATTCATTATTTTAATTGTACAGTGTGCTAACGTTAAACAGCTTCAATGTTCATGTTTAACCTTATTTAAAATTGCTTTTTTTCTGTTGTCAAATATATTATTTACTGATATTAAACATGTAAAATATGGACTTTATTGGATTGTTGACTAGTAAGACTGCATATAAATTCAGAAATCATCATGTAGACTCACTAATGACAGACACTATGTAATGATTGAGCATCATAAACAAAATAGGCACATTGTCAGACAGATTGGTTTATTCAGATATTTTCTACATCCAGTATTAGTGTTTTTCAGCATTTCCAGAGAAAAATGAGAAAAAAACGTGTGCCAGCTGTGGGTCGGCTTCAGATACAGCCTGCATTATAATGAAGCTGAAGAATAATTCTTTGTAATAAAAATACATTCATTAAACAATTCTTTGTGACATGAAATAATTTATTTTATTTGTTATTAATGTTAAACTTACTGTAATTTACAGCAAAAACCTCTATAGTTGTTTTATAGAAGAAATATTTCTTAAAGATACACACTATATATACATATATGAACATATATACATACAAGAGCTTATATATATATATATGAAATATTAATTTTATTATTTTAAATATCTAAGACTCAGTTCTGATTAATAAATATATGTATGAATATCCAGCTGGTCAGAACTCATTGACTTTAATGAAAAACCACCTCTGGAATGCAAAATACTTACTTTAAGCCACTGTTTTAGTAATTTAAATTAGTTATCTATTTTAAATTTCCATAACTATAAAATTCACAATTTCCTCAGCTTTATTTTGAACCTTAGTTTGTAAAAATTGAGCAAGAAATAAGGAAGTTATAAGAGTTTTTCATCAGGAACACACCTCACAGTCCATTGACCTCCATTCATTTTGTTGAGGCTCCTCAATGCATTATAGAACTCCAGTGTGTGCACGTCAATGTAGCTAGCAACGCCCAATCCAGTAATATATATCAATGGTCCATCCAGCCTTACATGTTGGAGCCAGAGGAGAACGAAGACAATGAAATTATAGTTGACGAGTTCAGACCATTTTTGGAAGTTTTGTCACAAAAACTAGCATAATAGTTCAGACAGTGGAGAAAACTGAACGGGTTGAAAAATATGACCCAACAGGATATAAAGATTTCTACACAGCCCCAGGAGAGACTAAATTCAACTTCTCCTAGACTGCAAGTACACAACAAAATGCATTTAATGGCTAAAAAAGTAGATTTTGCATGATATGCAGCTGGCTGGTTGCATAAACTTTCATTAAGTCACAAAATTAAGCTACACAGTTGACTTACTCTTACACACACCAACCTTTTCAGCTCTGTGACTACCTCTGTTAGCAAACGGTTGACTTCAACCTCATCTCATAAATCACACAAACAGAAAGATTGTGTCTCAGTCCTGACTTGTGAGAAGGACCAACATCAAACAGGAAGTCACTTTTAGTGGTTTAGTCCATTTTTTTCATGAAGTTTTGTGTGTCTGCAGACGGGAAGTGGTGGCTGCTGGACAACGGCGTCCTCAACATCACCAGCATCGAGTTTTCCGACCGTGGAAAGTACACCTGCATGGCGTCCAACGTCCACGGCAGCTCCAACTGCACGGTGACCCTGCGGGTGGTCTTCACCAACGGTGACATGGGCGTGTATTACATGGTGGTGTGTCTGGTCACATTCACCATCATCATGATCCTGAACATCACGCGCCTCTGCATGATGAGCAGCCACCTGAAGAAGACGGAGAAAGCCATCAACGAGTTCTTCCGCACCGAGGGCGCCGAGAAGCTCCAGAAGGCCTTCGAGATCGCCAAGAGGATCCCCATCATCACCTCGGCCAAGACCCTGGAGCTGGCCAAGGTCACGCAGTTCAAGACCATGGAGTTCGCGCGCTACATCGAGGAGCTGGCCCGCAGCATCCCGCTGCCGCCGCTCATCATGAACTGCCGCACCTTCATGGAGGAGATCCTGGAGGTGGTGGGCGTGGAGGAGATGAGGCACACCTTCCTGCGGCACGCCAGCGAGGGCCGCCACGACGCCATGAGCCGCCTCTCCTCCATCGGGGTGCGCGACGTCTTCACCATCCTGCAGGTGAGGGAGCGGGAGCGCAGCGAGTCGCCCGCCGCCGACTCTGACAACTCCTCCATGCAGGAGCAGCCGCAGCACATCGCCATCCAGGCCTCGGTCCACCCGCCGCTCGCCTCCGACGACGACTGCGGCGTGGAGGCTCTGCCGCCGCAGCCCGAGGCGCTGCCGCCACCCTCGTCGCCTCCCCTGGCCTCCCCCACACCGCCGCCGCCTCCCACTCAGCTGGAGGAGGAGGGGGACACTGTGGGAGGAGACGCAGCCAATCAGAGCCCTCCCTGCCAGGTGTTCTATGAAAGCCATGTGTGAGGGAAACACGGAGGGAAACTTCCTGCTATGCATTTCCACTTGAAGACCCACAAAAGGTCCACGAAACATTTTCAGTTCTCCATCTGCAAAGAAGCAATCACGTTATATTTATCCTTCCTGTAGAATCCTCTGACGAGAAAAACCCTGAAGCTTTTCAGACGTTTCAAMCTTTCTTGCTTGAATGTACACAAGAGGAGGAGGCATCTTTATTATTAATATTAGAAGCAGAGGATTGTAAGAGGAGGAGCCGAGGGACTAGTTTTAAGTTCTTAGTTTCTTTCAGTGTTTTAGAATTTCAGTGACTTCTGCCTCACATCGCTCTTTTTCAGCTTCCTTTCCTGCATCACTGCTGTTAAACCTCTGCTCTGCAGCTGCATGCTGGGCTGATAAAACTGAGTGTGTTTGATCAGTGTGTTTACAGACGTGTGGTTTTTATTTCCCCACTTCATCTTTAGGTTTGTAAGCACTTCTGTCCTCCATCATCAGATGTTAGGGTTTAAACCCGTCTCCAAGCTTCTGCAGAGGCTTTCCAGCCGAGCTGTGCTTCTGCCTGCATGCTCCGAGCTCGTTAAAGGACTCCTCGTGTTTCTTCCTGCGTTCGGTGAAAACTCCAGTCTGCGGTTGGAGATGAACTGGACCCTGTTCTGCTTTTACTGGTGCTCTTCAGATGCCTCTTTTTTTTGTAGTGGAATAAAATGCAAGCGCTGTGCTTTAAGAGGAGAAAACAAGAATGTGTTATGATTTCTGCATTTAATGCATCCTCTTTGAGACTTTCTGCTGAAAACTGGCTCAAATATTACCAACTTTTAAAGTTGAGCAGGAACTAATATTCACAAACTATTGTCATATCTATATAAATTAAACCCATTAGTTTCGTTCAGTTTATAAAAAGCAGCCCAACTAAATCACAACAACAAACTAATTACTTTATATCTTTAAACTACAAATATTTTTCCCCATAACATAAAAATGATGTAAGCCTGTCTCATGTCAGGGCAGTAAACCTCACCTGCTGTGATTCAAAGGTAAGGAGGAAAATACATCAGCTGATGTGAAAAGAAATGATTACTTCCTCTAGACCAGAGGTTCTCAAACTGGGGTGTCCCTGAGAGGTACCTTGGGGTTCCTCAAAATATTTTCACTAAATTGTTAATTTGGTTATTTTTAAAAATGCATAGAGAGCAATAAACTAATAAAAGAAACACAATAAACTAAATAAAAATATATATTCCCATGGCATTTTGGGGTTGAAATGACAATAAATCTTTTAAATTAGCATGGTGTTTATGAGGGGGTCCCTGGGATTTTTTTTCGCCCCTATAAGGTTTCCCCAGACCCAAAAGGTTTGAGAACCCCTGATCCAGAAGTGCCTGGACCAAGGCAGCTCCTTGTTCTTAAGCTTCAGTTTTCATCAGTGCAAACAGTTTCATGACCCAAACAACTTTTGAAAACTTCAACACAAAACCTGTCAGAGTCCAGTTCAACATGTTCAACCCTGAACCTGAAAACTGTAAACTTAAAGAGACGGCTCAGTTCTATAAACAAACAACATCTTACCTGCTGTAGAAAGAGCTTTGACCGATCACTATAAACAACTGATGTTTACATTGAAGCCAAAATGATTGTGTCTTCACATTTAACATCATTATACAATACTAGATAATTTAACATTAAATGTTAAATTAACTAGTTAAAAACATAGCTGGTTTTAGGTCCGTAAAATCAGTGATTAGGTKATAGATTAAAAGATAAAAACACTTTAAAGCAGTGACGGGCACAGTTACGCTAATAGTGTAACAAATTTACTGAGCGGATTAGCATTTGAATTCATTTTATAATCACAATATATTTTTTAGTTATTTCCCTGCCGCCTAAACCTCATTCCTACTAATTYAATATTTCCTTTTGTGTGCACCAGTGACCTGATTTCCCAGCATCCTTTGCAGCAGAGATGTCATTCAGTCCGACAGCCTTTTCATTTTGTTGCAAACTAAAAAACTGGGGCATATGAATATTTGTTTTTAGTGTTAATGTTTAAATATAAGAAATGAATTAGCAGATTTAAGGCTGTAATTTGACACTTCCTGTTTGTCCCCACTGTCTGCTCTCAGTTGTAGCTCCGCCTCCTGGATTAACAGGAACTATTTTCTCTAATTTCACCTAAAAAGAAAGAGACATTAATGTTTTTACCTGTGATCTGCAAAACATTTAGACTTATGTCGACTTTGTTTTGTTTTTACGAAATTTCCCTCTGGGATCAATAAAGTATTTTTGAATTGAATTGTCACATTACACATTTAGGTTTGCTTTGATATTTTTGATAATGTTTATTGACTAAATCTGAGTGGCTCTGGGAACAGAGGAGAACTGGGTGCTGAATTAATTGCCATTTGGTGGACTTGAAATTTATAGGATTAATATAACAGTTTAGCTAAATTTATTTTTATTTAGCTTTCTATTATTAGGGTAACTAAATAAATCGTGTAGTGGTTTAGGTGCTAGCTGTGCCCACCACTGGCTCCAACATGCTAAAAACACATTTAAAGTCTTATTTAGAGACAGAAACTCTGATCCAATCACAGCAGGACTCACTGTGCAACTTGAAGATTTTCTCCTTTTAATTTAAAACATTTTTCTTTACATATTCTCTTTTTAAATGTACAATCAAACAATGTAATCATACATAAAATTCTTCATAATAATAATAATAATAATTCACAACTGTATTGACACTACCCATAAATCAGAAAGTAAAGGAGAAAAAACACCGAGATCGGTTGGAAACACGACGTTAGGCAACACCACGATGATGCTCTGCTTCCTGTCCAACTGCAGGACAGTCACCGCAACGCAAGGACGACAATCACCCCTCACACACACACACACACACACACACACACACACACACACACAGTTGATAAAGATGCTACAGCTTCTCTCCCCCTCGCCTGACAAGTTGCCTCATTGCTCTTCATCATTTTCATTGAATTAGTCAAATTTGAGATGATAAAGCAAAAAAAAAAATGTGCAGAAAAGACTAAAGACCTGAAAATCTTCATCAGCAGCATGTTGGGATTAAACTTTTTGTTTTTTAGAATCAGCCTGAACGTTTCCAAACGGGAGTTCTGTTTTCCTTCCAGAACTGCAGGAAAAATGATTTTTCTTTTCCAGATGTTTCAGGCTCTTAAACTACACTTAGAGGATCAAACAGAACGAGTTTAGGGTCAAACATCTGGGTACCTGACCTGATTTAAATCACTCCAACATTTATCCTGTTGGCTGCGCAGGTTTTTGCAAAACTCGCCTAATTATTGGCAAAAATAATCAATAACTACATTAAATATAGTTAATTTAGCAGACTTAGTATTTCATATAATTTCATTAAAAGCAGTGTAATGACTAATAACCTTTAGATTAAAGAGCATTTGTTGTGTGATCAGTCAAAGGACGTATTTTGTATTGTGGCTCAAACCCAGCAGATTAAATCTTTTTTTTTCTTTTTCAAATGTAAAACTTGGACTTGAAAACAATAAAGTGTCACTTTATCCTCGCCTCTGATCTTGTTCTCTGATCAACTAAAACCAAAGTGAAGGCGTCACGATAACAGAATCACAAAATAAAAACAGACTTTAGGAAATAAAAGGTAACAGTCCAAGCATCTGAGTTTTGGGAGTCTTTTGAAGAAAGAGAGGAAAAAAGTTTAACACTGATATTTTCAACAAAATCACARATCAAGTGTTTTAAATATAAAGTCAAGGCGAGATTATTACAGAGGGAGGAACGAGTTTGAGACCGACAAGAATGGTTTTGTTTGACAGTAGAACTGAACCTGGGCAAGATTTTAAAAACTGTTTTTAGTTGCCTTCATATTAAACGGACCACACACACACACACACACACACACACACACACACACACACACACACACCTGAAATTGGCTCAAAAATGAAAACACACTTTAACTTCTTTCCATTAGAGAGAGAACTTATTTGTTCTTGAAATACAGTACCAACTCTACTTCAGTACCTCTCCGTATCACACACGCACACACACACACACACACACGCACGCACACACACACCTGGGGGAGAGGCTGTGTGTCAGGACCAGGTGATCGTCCTCTCCATTCCCAGTGGTAACCTGCCTGGAATGTCAGAGCGCCACAGACACACACTCATTCACACACATTATTCACAGGTAAACATAGTGGTTTTCCAGAGGACGGACAGGTCAGAGGTGTGTGTGTGTGTGTGTGTGTGTGTGTGTGTGTGTGTGGGTGAGGGAACCTGGAGGTGTTGAGGTTCTTCATCGCGTCCTTCGTTAGCGGTTCATTCTGACCTTTGACCTCCCGTCAGGTGAGGCACAACAAAGAGTGCAAATGGGTGAAGCTTTACAGGTCAGGAGGGTGTGTGTGTGTGTGAGTGTGTGTGTGTGTGTGTGTGTGTGTGTGTGTGAGGGTAACATGCATGTATGAAGTGTCTGCAAGTGCAAAAGTGTGTGTTAGTGTGTAGACAGTGCGTCCCTCCTGTGTGTGTGTGTCGTCAACACTTGACCTTTCTGTGTGTCCTCAGCAGCCGGATGATGATAAAAAGTCTTTCATCATCTTTTTTCCTGTCTACTCGTGGCCGATAAGTCTCTGAGGGCCACGGTCAGTCAGTGAGGTTCAGGGTCCACAAAACTGAACACTAAAACATAAAGAGAAGAAACTGAAACCTAACGGGGGGGTCCGTTCGTCATAGACTGGAGCCGTTCAGGAGGCACACCCCCTCCTCCTCGCTGTTGTCTCCTCCCTCCTCCACRCTCTCCTGGAAGGAGCGGATCAGTTGAACATGATGGACTCTGGATCTTGGTTTGCCGTTTGAGCCATGTGACGGAGGATATCTTTTTTTGTGATAATACCAAGAAGGCGCCTGCAGGGGGAGACAGAGAGGAGGAGACGGGAACATTAAGGAGGAGCGAGGAGGCTCTGCTGGTCTGAATCTGCAGTGAAACCATGAAAAACACCGTATTTTTGTTGGCAGCCTTTCAATGAAATGATAATTATTTAGTGTTTGGTTTAAAAAGTTCTAAAAAAAAAAATCCTGATGCCAACAAAAACACAGAGTCCCCCGGAGAGGCTACAGGAGGAGGAGGGGGGAGAAGTGAAAGCAGATCAGAAACAGCATCTACTACAGAGCAGGGTGTCATTTCAAACACCGTTTCACTTTTTAAAAAATTTTTTAAAGTGTTTGAGTACACAAAGATGGCGAGAGAAAGAAGAACTGGATCCTACAGGCAGGAGAGAGGAAGTTAAAGAGGTTAGGTCTGTAGAGAAGCAGGAAACTAGAAGACTGACACTACCATCACAGGAGTCGGACACTTGAATTATTTTAGTATCTTTTTTTTTCTTGAATTTAAATTCATTTTCTTTGGCAATCATATCCAGGTGTAAAAGTCATGCCCATGAGAAATACCACTGCTTAAAGAAAACTGTTCTATATTTAAAGTGTACTCTAAAGGATTAATTCAAACATGGAGGCCAATTGGTTTGATGAAGGTGGGCAACAAAATAATGTGCATGCCCAAGAATACAATCCTGACAGTTGTGTTMTCGCTGTTTGCTAAAGGCTGGTTTTAATTCAAGCTAGTGACGTGTGGATCGATACGGACCGCTCCGAGACAAACACGTCCGAAATGACGTCATCTCTGATTCACTGCCTCACGTCTTGTTGAAGTATACACCAGCCTTTAGTTGCAAACTCAAAAATCAACGAGATTGCAACTGAAAATTTGCCAATTCTGATTTGCCAACAAGTCTCCAGCAATCTAGTCAGATATYACWTTTCAGCAAGGCAAATCCTGCTTCRAGTTTCTCCATGACAAAGACCACAGCAGAGTGTGGAGACCCAACAGACTTTTTTACAGTTTCTAATGCATTAATCGACCACCACACCTTCACATACATCCATAACCACCTGCTTTTTTTATTGACCTTTATGGTGGTGAAGATCTGACCACTAATGATGAATGTTTCTCCTCTGTGTTTATCTTCATGCAGATATTTTAAATCAGGAATTATCGTCATGACCTCAAAACTAGGTTCAAATTGAGATAAACGATATCCGTCACATTCATGTCAAGGTTTCATTGTGTTCCGCTTCTGACTCCTGTGATAAAATCTAACTTTACGGTTGAGAACATTCATCCTGTGGTGTTTTTCTACTTTGTCAGTAAATAAAAAGGCATCCAGCTGATTACAAAGTCATGTGTTGAAACATTAGTAATGGACACAACACGTTCTCGGACTTGATGTTGGGTGAAGAGGATCATCTGAAGCCAAAACTAGCAGTGCTGCTACAGAGCTGAAGAGCCTGGTCCAACAGGTTAATACAAGGAGTTTGGGTTTTTGTGGATTTAATCATTCAAACCCTAGAATGAAAATACAACACAGTGGTAATGAGTATCAAACTTATCAAACATAAGGAACCAAATCTGAGTGAGCGGGACTCAGATGGTCTTTGGGGGAGGAGGTGAAGTTGGGGGAGACACATTGGGAACACCCGACAGATCAGACCCAGGTTTCTCTGAGCATTGCTGACCTTTTCCACTACTGCCACTTGGTGTAGTGTCGGTACGGTTCGGTATGGTTCCAAGCCATTTCCAGTAGGCCAGATTCATGGAACCAGCCCTTTTTTAGTACCTACTTCATTGTGGTTCCAAGTGGTCCCAGTCGACACCAACATGCAACATCAGAACACTGTTCATCACTGATTGGCTAGGGGGTGGAGACACTGGTTGCATCTAAGCTACCTTTACAACAACTCAAGGAGCCATTTTTTTTTTCAATTGTAGCAGTGACAGTTGTGTTTCCATCCAATTTGAATTTTAATTTTTAGCAAATTTTTTAAATTTCAGAACTTATTCGGCAAATGTTTTTCCATCTCTCATTTTGCGCATTAACTTTTTTCGAAAAACCCAAAAACCACCTCCACCAACTGCCCAAAACACACCCAGTGGAACCAGACTGGAACGTCAATGGAAARGCACCTGAACTGACACATTCCGACACTGACCGTAACCGACACTACACTCAGTGGCACTAGTGGAAAAGGGGTGGGACAACAGCAAGAGATCAGAGTGTGACCAGGTGAAAGTGTGAACACAGTGTTCCCACCAGCACCAGCAGAGTACGGCCCACATTCAGGGTCCCTAAACCAGGTAACCTCAGCCAGGAGGTTTCCCATCACTGCAGAACCTGTAAGCTCTGATGTTTCTACAACATGCTGAAGGAAATGACTCATGTATAAATAGGCAGTAAATAGAAATGTCATCTTATGCTTACTCCAGGTTGAAATAATTGTGTTTAATGTCTCTGATGTTAAATCGGTTTTGTTGGAAATTACAAATAGGGTTAAAAATGATGTTACAATCATGGGTCAAKCTTTTAAATCTGTGTTGTAATTTCAGGGAGTTATTTGGTTGTTTTTATTTCTCCACATGGTTTAAAGATTTAAGTCATACCTCATGGATTTTCAGTTGATTAGATATAGATGAAGTTCTCAAGGCCAAACTTGAGTTAATAGTGGTTTACATGTAGCCTGAGATAATCATGTCTAACTGAGGAGTTACGACTAGATTCAATGTTGAAATTACAATTTTCTTGCACTTAGCCTGCGGGTCTGCAACCTGCGGGTCTGGGGCCACATGTGRCTCTTTGGTCCCTCTGCAGTGGCTCTTTGAAAATGTGTCCAAATAGAAACATTTTTGTTTGTTTGTTTGTTTTTATACCCACAACAGAAATCAATTTGTATGCAAATGTGTGATCAATACTAAGTAAACCATGTTGATTAGCTCATGCTAACCTATTGTGTACTTAAATAATCCAACTTCTTTCTATGATCCTTCTCTCAAATCCATCAGAATTACCTTTAAAGAATTTGAAGACTACATAATTAGGGATGCATGATATAATCGGCATTCATATCGGTATCGACCGACATTGGTCATTTTTTAGAATATCGGTATCGGTCTGATATATAAAACTATATTAACATCCGATATTGATTTCCCACTTTTTATCTTTGTGTTTTTGTTTTGGAGGTAAGATGGTTGGTTGAACAGCATCTGTTTGATCATGATAGTGATATTGACGCTGCGCAGCCAGGAATAACTGAAGTAGAGCCATGTCAGAGGTCTGGTTGTTTATTTGTGGTATCAAAAAGACCCAAGTGTGTTTGTGCGTATATGTATAATAYAATTTGTGTGTTTGTGTAATATTGGTAAATATCTGTTATCGGCCATAACAGCAATAATTATATCGGATATARATATCGGCTGAAATTTTCATATCGGTGCATCCCCCTACACATAATAAGAATTAGAAAAAAGTATGCCTGAATAGTTCAGTTGAACTATTTTTTACGAAAGTCAGTATAAACTATATACAGTATTTTTCTTGTTTACATGAATATAATCTTCTCATTTGTCCTGATATGTAAAAATAATAATAAACAATAAAATTCACAACATATTTTTTTGGTTTTATAATGTCACCTCCACTGGCCGTGGAGGTTCCCAAAAAGGCCTTGAAAAGTTGATAATCACAGTTGTAGCTTGTTTCATGGCTCTGAACACACTTTATTAGTGCGTCAAGAAGCAGAAATGGCTCCTTTGGTCATAAAGGTTGCAGACCCCTGACTTAGCTAAATGCATCAAAGAGGTTTTCTTTCAGAATTTCAACTGGGAAAATGGTCAGAATTCCAAGATCAAATTTAGAATTCTGAAATCAAAGTCATATTTCTAAAAAAAATCCTTTCCTCACAGTGGCCCTAATCCWTTTTTGTTCAAAAATGTTTGTCATCGATCAAGTGCAGACTTCTGACGTGTTCCATTTAAATCAATCTGACAAAGWAAACTTGATAGAAAACCATCCTGAGCAACAAATTGTTTCAAATCAACAAAGCTTCTTTTAACAAGTCAATATGTTTTTTAAAACAATCTGAACACCTGCTGTGTGCTCSACTTCAAACACAGATCAGTCTGAGAAAGGCGGGACTCTGCTGGTCGATGGAAACACTGGCAGGTTAAAGGACGGGCGTTACCCCGCCAAGGTCAAACTACAACAACTGGCACCACTCAACACATCGACACGCACCAGAACTACAAGCTGAGGGAAATGAAGCAGAACGTTACAGATCATTGCCCTCTCTTCTAATAAAGAAATTAATAAATAACCGTGGTCCGCTTTCCCCAAAGCGGCTAACTACTCGCCAAGTTGCTGCTTAGTTGACGGATCTGACGTCGTTGATCTGGAGAGACCCAGGGTAAAACGGTGGGGTCGAGCAGTTTAACAAAAACATAAATAAAAATAAAACAGAGAAAAGCAGCCGTTAATGAAAACAGAAACCCACGGGTGAGGGAATTTGAAAGTGAAATGACTGACTGATGTGAAGTGGAAAAACGGAGTACAACATGAATACATGCCTGCAGACATRTTGAGTTTTATCTCTGACTGAATCCTTCAATTAAAAATAACTAGTTACAGGATTACTGCAGGGCAGTCCAAAAATATTCACTGAAAGCTTTGATTTACGGTGAATTTTTACCAACAGATYGGTTTCTTTTGGCCGGAAGCAACAAGTGAAAAAAGATAACCCTAACCCCCTGCTTGAGATGTAGATTCAAAGAGATAACAATGGTTTTGTACATTCTGTACAAGAGTTCAAGAATATTCTATTTTTAACTTTTCCTGCTTCTTTTCACTTGTTTATTCCATCCAGATAAACCCAAACGCTGCAAATAAAAGTTCACTGTAAAACCGAGTTAATATTTTTGGGCGGCGTGAGTGGAAAGGTGTGAAAACGTAGCACATGTTGGGATGCTAACATGAAGCTGCAGGTAGAGGACTGAGCAGAGCTACAGGTGGTAGCAAATCAAASAAATGAGACACAAAGTTGAACTTAATCCTTCCTGAGCCCCTTTCAGACAAAAACRACAACATCAGTGGCTTCACTTGTTAAACTCAGGGTTTCTCCTACCATTATCCAAGGAGGGCGCCCTTACAGTACCTCCAACTGTAAAATTATTCTGTTACTATGTGGATAACCAAAATAACTCAGTGGTCTCCAGCTGATCCAAAAGTMTGCTGCCAGAGTTCTGATGGTTATGAGAGTTTTTTTTCTGGTTTTAGCTTCTCTCCATTAGCTCCCTGTCAAACTCAGAACAGAATTTAAAATCYTGCTTCTAACTAAAAGATAGAGCCTGGTTGTTGGGAGCTTTTTATGGAGGTTAAATATCTTTATATTTTTTATAACAAACTCAAGGTTTACTTGAGGTTCCTAGAGTTTATAAAAGTTGAATTCAGTTTTCAGGCTCCCCTCTGGTGGAAAAAGGTCCAGTTTCCGTTCATGAGGTTGACACTCTGTCTACTTTAAATACTAGACTCAAGAYTTATTTTCAATAAAAAATCTCCACATTTATACATGTTATTGATGCTATTTGTCCCATAGAAACAACACCTGGACATGTCTGGGTCTCCTTCCTGTCTTCTCAAACCTCCAGCCAAAGGAAGGGCTGTCCATCCTGAACCTGGTTCTGTTCGTTTCTTCCTGGATAAAAGGAAGTTGTTTCTTTCCGCTGTCATCAACATGTTGCTCAGGAAAGGAAGATTTGATTCAATATTTTGGTTTGTGTAACWATTAGAATCTGGACCTGTTTTGGACTTAATTGGACTTGTTTTCTTCTCATGTATAGTGCTTTCAGTTGATTTTTCTTTTGAAATGGTGATTGAATAGAACTTTCTGACCATTTGAATAGTGATTTGGACCCAATTGTTAAAAAAAAACCACAAGATTCTAAAGTTTTATTACTGCGCCTGAGTGGCCTTTATGTTAATAAAAATAGTTTTAGGATGGCTTATGGTGCGTTCACACCGAACGCGATTTCAGCRTCAGGAGCAKCAGGTTTACATRCAAAGTCTATGGTGGACGCGCTTCAATCAGTGTCAGGAAGTGCTGCGGCGCCTCAAGCGCGATTAGAGCAGCGCGATTTGAACAATTTGAACGATCTGAGCGTTCGACGCGCTGAGGCGCAAATCGCTGAAGTTAGAAAATCTGAACTTTTGCAGCTCGACGCGCCGCGTCAACCAATCAGAGAGACTCCACTGTGTGAYGTAGAGACATATTTCCCGACGGGACAGTTTACTGAATGATGTCCACTAACCTGAAACAGAYRGAG